GAGAGAGAGAGAGAGAGAGAGAGAGAGAGAGAGAGAGAGAGAGATGAGTATTTTGCAGCGCGCGTGAGAGATAGGAGGCCCGAGAGATTCTTTGGGAATTACGTACGTGATATATCAGGTGTATTCCAGCTCCAGTGATATATTACGTGTATGTGTGCTCACCTTAGCAAAATGGCGATTAAACCCCGGACTTCCGGATGAGCTCGGAGGTAAATCTCGTTCTCCCTGCGGCTGATCATTTTCATTTCGTTCAGTTCGCGTTTCTGGTCTCTCCTCAAGGCGCCCAAATCGTAATCTTGCATACCGTGCGGCGGATCCGCCGGATGGAAATCATTTCTGAGAGTAAACGCCGCGAGAGGCTGGTCGGACATAATGACTGTCAAGCTCAGTATGCGTGTGCGCGCGCCTGTGTGTGTTTCTACGCGGATACACCGGGCGGTTTGTCACATAAATTCGCGGCCGACACGTTTCCCGAATCGTTATTTTTCATGCGATATTTTTCCTACGCTCTATATTTAATCACATGCACGCGCAAGTCTCGCGAACGTGACGGAAAGATTTCGCATAAAATGGGAATAAATCGTATGACGGCAAAAAAAAATTTGACGCAAATAAATTAGCTTTTGTTTTCTTTTTTTATATATGTTGTTGTTTTTTTGCGAAATAAAACACACGAATGTGCACGGTGTACACACGATGTAACGACACGGTATAAATATTGATGCAATCCGCGACGATGTCCAAGCGATGACTCATCACGTCCACGCATACTTGCGGGGATCGACGGAATATAAGCCTTTCTGGTTAACGGTCTTATGAGGAAAATCCGCCAAGGGGGTAATAATATGTACTCGAGTGTTAACATGTATTATGCGTCAGATGTGTACCTCGGCATGACGCGTGTACGATGGATAAGTGCTCATAGTGCTCAAGTGTTCTCAAATGAAAATCAGGGACACTGTTTTCGGCGGTGTAAATACGCAAACTAATATCCACACGGAGACAAATTTCGGTCGAAACAATGATAACGTCAATCGCGAGCGTTATGTAATTCCACCATAAACTTTACACTAAATGACATCTAAAAGATAAAATATATTTATTTGTTAGGTAATGATATATTTAGGGGAGACCGGAGTTTTTTTTATTTGTGTGTGACTGCAGAGGCAAGTTGGCAAAATCGATTATTTCTACTGTTCTTTGACAGATTTTAGAGTCAAACAAACGGGGATTTCAAAGTCACCTTTGACATGTTTAAAAATCTTACTTGCTTAATTCCGTAACTTGTTAAAAAATACTATAAATAACTAGCTTTGCCAACTTACCTTGGTAGCCAACTGGTATCTTCTACTTGAACTAACTAATGCTGCAATTCTAAGCAAATTTTACGAGTAACTCGTAAAATCGTAGCTTACGAAAAAGAAAAATCATAGGTATTGACGAGTTATCATATGACATACGATCCGCACAGAATTGCAGATCTACTCATAAGTTCTTACGAGTCTTGCGAGAATAAATTACGAGTTTTACGATTTTATTTAGAATTGCAGTATTAACTCTTTAGTTTAAACAGAATAAACGATCGCTTCAATGAAAAGCTAAGGTTTTAAGAAAATTTATATATTCTCTTGAACAATATTTGAACAATATTTTTGTTAATATAAGTAAATATGTTTCATCAAATATCCAACATATAAATATTTTTTACTTCTTAGATGTATTTTTCTCTTATAGTATACATAGCTTATTCTCTTCCCTCTTTTTAATCGGAATAAAGACCATGTATATTATAAGACAAACGACCGATTGAGATGTGTGCTTTAATCGTTTACACCTCGTTCTAGAAATCTTTGTCACGCGAATGTGTTTTCGTGCAAATAAATTCCTTGAACTTCCGCGAAATGTATTTTCACGCCGTGACGGATATATTTTCCAAGTAAATTTCCACTTTCTCGCGTAGAAGAACGACGCCGATGGTAATGCTCTTTTAGCTTGTTCTATTTACAAATGGTTTCTTCGTCTAGCTCGTTCTATTTACAAATGAAATATCGGAAAAATCAGTACGTAGTGTATTTATACCTTCGGAATATCGTGCACACGTATATCGCATAACGTATCACATATTTCTCGAGGTACGCGAGATTGCGGTATAGCCTTAAATTATCTTAAAGGAACTACGGTTTTTCTATCGCATTATACATCGCGTACAACACAAACATCATCGGATCGATACGCCTTCAATAAGTCGTTGCCCGCAGGCTGTTATCTATCGATCCTTTTGATCGTAATTGCGCTTTCGAGATACTCGCGTTTTGCGATAATTCCTTCTGGCCAGTTCTATTTACATTTGGTTGGTCGACCTGTTTATTCTCTCGTTGACTAGATATCGAGATTTCCATAATATCTGAGGTATTTACATATTTATCTACGATGAAAGCCTCTATGTAAATAATACTCGGCGCAAAATTGGCGTATGAGAATACGAGTGAAATATTTCGCACGTTCTAACAACATACATATGTACGTGTATATACATATACACACACACTCACACATACACGTGCGCACGTGTGTGTGTGTGTGTATGTTGCAATATACATGTGTTTTTGTATGTATGTGTACGTATATGTGTGTATATTGTATACAGAGTGTATGTATATGTGTATATATGTGTGTGTATATATATATATATACAGAGTTCCAGACTCTCTTCCGCAATTTTTGTGAGAACACAGAACGGACTGAGGTGAACATAAAAGTTCCATATCAATATATCATGCCAATAAATCTCGAGATATTAATTAAAGAAGATTGATGAATGATCACGTGTGATATGGTAGACGAGCTGTAGTAACGTCGTCTGCCGTTGTATACATTAAATCAACTGAACAAAAAAGTTCTCTACCATTTTACAAGTAATCACATAGATTTTTAGATATTAATTAAAGAAGATTTGTATTATCGCGCGCAATTATGTGACAATTTTTCTTCATTAATACCTAAAAATCTACGTGGTTATTTGCAAAATGATACAAGGTTTCTTTGATTTAATGCACACAACAGCACACATCACCAGTGCACACATCACCATCAACTCATTTACTATATCGCGCTCATCACTCATCAATCTTCTTTAATTAATATCCCGACTATTATTGTGAATATCGTAAAACTACATGAAATTTTTATGTTCACCTCAATCCACAAAAATTGCGGAGAGAGTCTGGGATACTCTGTACATATTGCAGCCATTAGCTGATTAGTCGCGTACGCAGTTGTGGAGAGAATCATTCAAGTCCTAAGTGAACTTTTCGGAATTTGCGCGCAAAATACTCACTCTCGGTTCTCATACACATCGTCATATATTAACAACTTAATATGCTACACGTCGTAGAAAAGAAACAGAGAGAGCTTAGCACGAGTGATTGTCGCGTTGTCATCGTGTCGTCGTCATCCGGTATACACAGCAAGCGAATACGGTAATTAAAACGTCCCGGCAGGAAACGGCTGCAGAGACCGACTCCTTTATTATCCAGGGTTTCTCGCACCTCACCGCCGCTGCCGCCACCGCCGTCGTCGTCGTCGTGCAATCCCGCGAACTCAAGTTTTTCCGAGCGCGACTCATCGCGCCATCGGTATCGGATATTGCGGCGACGCGCTCCGCTCTGTCTCTCGCCTTTTTTTTCTCTCTCTCCTTGCTTCCCCGACGGGGGTTTCCTACAGACTCGCGTGTCGAATTGCGCAAAGAAAAAATGCAAATGCCTGAACGCAGTTGCGCGAGCCGCAACAATGAGCAAGAGAAGCTCTTCGCCGCGACGATTGCGTAATCGCGACCGTGCCGGACGCCGAGGACACGTCGACGACGGGCATTCTCGTCTTCCTTCCCGCCGCCGCGACGTTGAGTCGACGATAAATATCGACGAATATCGCTGATTCATTTCTATTGTTGTCTTATTCATTTGCTCTCTCTCTCTCTCTCTTTTTCTCGCGCTCTCTCTTGAGGCGAAACCACTACATGGCAAAAATGAGAGAGAGGAGGTGCATTTACGAGTTGGCCTTTCCCCTGCTACTCTCGAAGCAGCGCAGTTTGTTCGTGAGTTTCCGCCGCAGCTTCTTGTGACCGGCGAGCATCAAGAGCCACAGTATCGGCTGTGTCAGCCGGCACACCTTGAGTATCACTAGATTGTTGAGGCATGCGAGCAGCGAGCCGAAGAACCACGGTGCGCCCATAAGCAGGTACAGCTGCAGGAACAGGAAGTACTTCTTCCGCAACGCGTTGTTCTGACCCCGCGTCGCTATCTCCGTGCTCCTCTGTATACATATGATCTTGTAGGTGGTGAACACGAAGAGCACATTGTTCCAGAAGAGCGTGAGCAACGGTATGCCGAAGAAGTAGAGATTCACCACGATGTTCGGTCCGCCAAGGTAGCGGCGGTAATTCGGTTTCAACGGGAAGTCCTCCGGGATCCCGGGACAATACTCGAGAATGAGGGCGACTATGGCGGGAATGAGGGCGCCACCCCAGGCGAAAAGGCTGTAGAAAAGGAGCCGTCTGTTTTCTTCGCGACTAGTGCGCCGACCAGAACCCATCATCCAACGAAACTTGGTGATGGACAAAGTCATGTCGAAGCAGACGACGTTCAGCCAAAAGCCGGTGGCGTTGGTGAAGTACTGCAGGACTATCCACAGGAACACGGCGAGATTGTCAGTCATCGGGCATTCGCATAAGTCGCAGTAGCCGAGTAAGGTCAGTATGCAGCCTTGCAGTAGCAGGCAAATGTTGTGACGTAACACCGCGCGATTGTATATGCTCTTGCCTAGCTCCGGCAAGGACAGGTAGACCGCCACGACGATGATGCAGAGGACGACGTGCGCCACGTTGGTGTCCATGTAAGTCTGCGCGCCCCAGAAGACTACCGCGCGCAATCCATTACCGCGACGAACGGTTTCCTCTCCCTTCTTCCCCGACGCGTTCGTTGTGTCCGTCGACGTCCTGATCCTGCTGATGGTCGTCACCGTGGTGATAGTCATGGTCTTCATTTTAGTTTTCGTGGTCGTCATCAGCATCAACGCCGCTGCATCGTCTTGGTCCGCGTTCGAGCTCGAAGGACACTTGGCCAACACCGACGTGCCGTTCGTCATTTTCTCGACGCAGTACTTGTTGGATGCGGGTGCGTAGTTACGCAGAAGGTCGTTATCCGACATACTGATATCCTTGCGACAATTCAAGCCTGGCACAGCGATCACCGTGATAATCTCTCGCTCTTGTTGCATTGTCCTCCAGGTATCGCCCATCATGTAGCTGAGTCTGTCTGGCTTCACGTGAACGCACTCGAGGTCTTCGTTGAACGCGTAACCGGCGACGCAGCACTTCCTCGGCGGCGTGTCCCTCATGACCCGATATTGAATGGTGCTCATTGTCGGATAAGTGACGGCGGTCGAGATGACACATAGGAAGTAAATTGTGACACCGGCGAACGATCCCGTTGTGTGCATCCTGTCCAGCGAACCTCTTCGCTCCGACTGCAACGTCTCGTCTCGTCTCTCTCTCTGTCTCGGTGTTAGACAAGTCGGAACCGACCGTCGTCGCCGGCGGCCGATTGCCGGCGCAGTATCGCCGTTTTTCTTCTGCTTCTCCGCGTAGACGTAGTAGTAACGTGCGCGTCAACGTCCAGCAGTATTTATCGCGAAAAACGCGCGATGGTAGTAGATAAACGTCACCACCACCACTGCTACCACCACCGCCATCGCTGTCATCATCGTGAGTTGCTAACATTGTATGCGGTTACTTATCGCAATTGAACCTCCCTCCTCGATTATTCGCCCGGGCACTGGTCATCGTGTATTAAAGTAAGATAACCAGATTTCCCAGTCCCAAATCTGAGACTCTTCATAAATGTTTGAAACGGAGCAGGGAGGAGAGGGGAAGTGACTAAAAATTATTTATATGTACATATGTATATAAATTACTGATAAAAATGTTTATTAAGAATAATTATCTGGATGATAAACCAGCCAATTGTACTTAACCAACATTTTTCTCAGTGATCTCAAACTTTTTGATAATGAAAGCCTATCGCAAAGAATAAGAAACTATTGCTAAGATAAAACTTATGTTATTCTCTCTTAAAATTAGAAAAAAGAAACAAAACTATTGTATTTATTAGAGCTGTGAATCGTCTTGAGAAGATTTGTCTTTTGTCTCACAGGAGGATTTTAAGAATCCTCCAAACCGCAATGAACAATTTGACCGAATCCGATATACCCGATAGCATACAAAAAATATAAGGACAAAGGGTGGAAAACCGGCATTGTCCCGAGAATAACGAAATATTTGATCACCTTAACTAAAGCCTCGATCGTTATGACGAAATCGATAGATCTTAGAAGAAGTAAACATTTGCAAATTTTATCGTTGGCAAAATAGCGGCTAGATTGTTCTATTTAGATGCTGATCGAAATGGGAGGTATTGCTAGCTCATTTATCAACGTAAGCTTTTTTCCTCCCTTTTTCTTTAATGTACATGATGCGTGTATATGCACATATGTGTATGAGAGTTCCACATTATTTCATCCACATTTACTTACTAACCTTCCGAGAAATATTTATTTATCAATGTGGAATATCTTTTACGTAGAAATCCAGTTTTTACAAGACTTCTATAAAGTACACACAGTCAGAAGAATATTCGTATGAACTCTGTATCAATTTGAAACTTATATCGCCGAACGCAACGTCAGTCGAGTGCGAGAGCTCGTGCTCTTTGATTTTCTATTTCGACTGTTGAGGGACAAGCACGGTAAATATCTGCAGCGCGATGTTACGAGAAACGGAGTCGACTTATTGACTTTGCGGTCAATGAATCGCCAGCAACAAAGAAATCTCGTGTATTTATGCGACAGTACTAACGGCCACTTTGAACGCGCGGTCATGGCGCACGTGTGTGTGCCGATTGCGCAAACTGTGTTTCTTCCTCTAATGTCATATGTTTCTCGGTATTCGCAGTGGGCAGCCCAGGGGCGAAGCGCGCGAGAAACGTTCTAACGTCACGAGGAGTGCAATTGTTACACGTAATAAATCCCATTTTATTCTCCTCGGACAGCGAAGATGCCGGAACAACGGCTGGACACTGCTGAGCGTCGCGGACATCTGAAGGTGTAAGCATCGCTCACTGTGGAAGGGGACAAGGACCAGGAAAAAAAAAGTGAGACAGCTGAAGCGACGCTTTAGAGCTTCAGTTGAAGCGGAGATCACTGATTCGTATCGAAATTCCGAGACATTTGGCAGAGCATTGAATGCGAATCGTGACGTTGAATTTTACGAAGTTAGCCGCTTAAGTTAATGATTGCCGAGAGAGATGGACGAGAGATAAAGTCCAATTTCAATAGCTATGTTCAGCAGAGAAAGCTGATTCACAATTGTCGTAAAATTTGTGAACAGATTCAGCAATCAGAATTGGCGCGCGCTCTTAATCTAAAAGCGTATATCGATCAGATTCATGAATTTTATAACAGTCGCAAAGTAGTTTTCTCTGCTAAACGAAATCATTGATTTCTTTCAATCTCATTTTTGCCGAGATTGTTTTCAATGTTTACGATTCATATCAGTAGAATTGAAGAAATAAATATTTATATTTTTTTTTTCGAGTTTAACGACTTTGTTTCGGTGTTTTTTTATCTCCCATGAGATAAGATGATTCTGACACTGTTTCTACTTTTCTAAGTATGTTAACTATTCTCTATTCTCTTTAACTATTCTCTGTCCCAAGTCTTTTCTTTTCCGACTTTACACGAATGATACCATCTAAACAGAAAAAAATTTATAAGTTAAAACCCAACCACTTATCATGTTTCTAACAAATTTTTGCATATAATCTATATTTTGTTAATTTTGCTAGATTACGTGCGCAGTCGATATGGTAAGGCAGCGACTCCGGCATAGAATATCGATGTACGCTAACAGATGGAGCCATATGCGAATAAGTAACAGTCGGTAAATTTGATTTGGACGTCAAGCGCCACTAGTGCTCTGCTCCTCCGCAGCAGCAATTCGAATTCGGTAACGCGAATCTTGGAACAGGTGCAGCGATTGAAAGATGTAAATACAATAATAATCAAGTGTGCGCTTAATATACTCGAAACATGATGACGAGATAGACAGCTCGTAAGCAGTTGGAAGCACGAAGAATGGAATTGCGAGACCAACGTTGTAGTCTACGTTACTAACCCACGTAAGTTTTCTTCTCAATTTGATTTCAAGCTTTTCTCTTCCTTCCTTCCTTCCTTCGATTCTTGGCTTGGAGCACTTATAATCGCGCGACCTCACGTCATTACTCGACAAGCTTTTCTCTGATTTTGTTACAAACATTTCGAACTGTCGCATTTGTAAGATGTTCTATCTCGCGAGACACGAGTAAGTCGATGAATTGTTAGATTAGGTTAGCCTGATCGGGGGAGAGGGCAGGATAAATTGTAACTAGACGTTTTATTAACACTGTCACGATGGATACATGATAACGGTCAGGACAGCTTGGAGCGTGAGGGCCAGCAGGAGGTCGATTTCTTTGATCGCTAGGTCGTTGGCAGTACCGGTACCGGTATTGCACAGAGGCTCCTCGCAACAGGCGGTGCAGGCGTACAGCTTCGTGCGTTCACCGATCACGATGCATCCCGGGTCGCATTTGTTCGTGCAGTTCCTCTCCAAGGACCACGTTTGCGGCATGGAAGTCGAGTTCTCGGTACTAGTCGTATAGGAAAAGCGTTTTACCTGTGAATTTCAGATTTTCCTCATTATTCGATATTGTCAGGATGAGAAAGAGAGAGAGAAGGGACACACATTTAGTCACATTTAGTGTGTAAGCGTGTCACAAGGGTAAGGAAACAGGAACATAAAAGGGAAAGGAAAGAGGAAAGAAAATTAAGCGACAGTTTATGGATGATATTCATCATTCGATCTTGCACTTGAGATTGTCTCAATTTATCTTACGATGCTGTAAATTTAAAGTAAACTTGAGATGATTTAAATACACTTAGGATTTAAATATATTCAGGAAAAATTACATGGTGATGACAGCTATGAGTTTTGTGTGTAGAATTTGTATATATAATTAATGAATTAATTTGTATATATAATTTAATGAACTATTTTGTACCTATTGCAACCAAAGTTGTATAGCTGCGAGAATTATATAGTAACTGTATGTAGTCCTCGTAACCATTCAGCTTTAGTTGCAATAAACATAGAATTTATATAAATTCTTTATAATTTTGTTATTTAGTAACTGCTATATTCAGTAATTATATTTAGTAGTCCAGGAATAAACTGTCAGTAAGTTCTATTGTAACGATCGAAAAGAGATCGTTACGAAAAACACAAGAAACGCATAGGACCGCGAAATGGAGTGTTAAAGGACAACGCGTCTTCGAGAAAAATAAACAGCGAGACCGCCGAACATCTGCGACACATAGCGAAGCAAGCGTGATTCGCAGATATAAAGCGCCGCGAATTCATGATCGAGATCAGATTCCGATCCGCTCTTCAGAGAGCACCGACTCCATACAGCTCCTGGCAGATTTCCGTGCGCGGATACGCGACCGAAATCACTCCGCTGTCGAGTCACGGATTCGTGACATCAACATTGCTCCTCACACCGTTCCGTGCGATTCTGTAACTCGTTATTGCAGTTAACGACAGTCTCGTTATCGTTGTGCAGCTTTTCTACAGTACGAAAAAGCTGCGCAATGATAACGAAATTGTCGTTGACTGCAGTAACGAGTTACAGAATCACACTACTGGCAGGTTACTGCTCGCGGATTCGCGACAGCCACCACTCCGCCGTCGGCTCACGGATTCGTGAGGCCGACATTGGTAAACTACCGATATCCGCAGGATTTCTCGGCCGCCGAAGGGCCTGGAATCGACACACCGGAAGGGCGCTTAACGCAACCTTCATACCGCAAACCGGATCTCGCTTTCGTCTTAGCACGAGCGAGATCACCTCGTGATCGAGTCGCCGTATGCGAACTCGTCATCATAGATTCGGAAGTTGCACTCCGTTGCAACGCGACTTCGACATCGCTTAAGGATCCGCGTCAAGATCACGTTCCCGCGAGTCGATCTCCGCGATACTCGTAAACGATCTCCAGAAGAAAGATCGGACATACTCCGTTACCGCAACGCATAGGCGCGTCCGCGGCACCGTCTTACCGCATCCGCGATCGTGGTAGAACGAGCCGGCCTCGTTCAATTACAAAGAAAACTCCGATAGTTAAGGTTCCATGTACAAGGGCAGACTGTCGCACCGCATACACGGAATCGCACCGAATCTCCGCGAGAGGAGATCGAGGGTACCGCCACCCGGGCAGCTCCACTGCACGACTACCGATTGACCGCTTAACACTGTGCTGCATCGAAGAGCAGCTACAGCACCGAAAGAAATTATAAACGAGAATTAAAGAGGCGAGAAGTCGGAAACGTCACAGACGAACGCGCGAATACGCGACAACACCACCGTCCGCGTCCCGCGCATCGCCGTTCGCGAGTCATCGCATAAACAAAGCGTCTGACAGATAATACACAAACGACCAAAACCAGCGTAGCCACACCTTATTTAATTTACTTGTACACATCAGCTGATTAGTTTAAATATATTATTAAGTTTGTTAGCCAACAACTGTTTCTAAATTATTCCGCCTACCACGAACCTGAACCGACGAGCGATCCGAAACGCGACGCATCGCGGTTACGCTATCTTGCTAAGAAACGTAGTAAAAGCTAGAAAAACATAACAAGTGCTTTAGTGATACATTTCAGTCCCTAAAATATAAATAGTATACTGAGGGAAAAATTATCTTAAAATCAACAAATATTTCTTTGATGGGTGCCATTAATATATTTACTTAAATCTAAATTCTCTTTATTTAAATTTAAGTAAATATGTTAATGGCACCCATCAAAGAAATATTTGTTAATTTTAATGTAATTTTTCCCTCAGTATCATAAATAATACGAAAGGATAGTGAATTATTGTAGATTATCGCTTTATTCCTCGGTTATAAAGTTCTGCAAAGTAATGTTTACTATAAAATTCTTTTCGTGTGAAAATACTATGGGAAAAATGTTTGTAACGGCAATCGCATAGAGAAGTAGTTACTATAAATTATGCGATCAATAAAACTATTTTCTTGTGAAATTGTACCGTTAGTGATAATAACCTTACATGCATATTAATACTATTTTCGTGTTAAGACAATCGAGAAATATGGTTAAGGTAAAAAATAATTACAACTTGAGTTAGATCAAGCATTTCTTTTCTCTCAATGTAGCTGTCACTGCCGTGTCTTTTTCTTCAAGTGTACAAGATCGGACCATGTAAACACGGAAAAAAAGATATGAACAACTAACAATAATTTGCTGTGTTAGCCACTTTTTCTTTCCTGCAAGAACCAATTTCTTTACTGAGATAACAAAAAAATCTACTCTTGCAGCAAAAAAAGTAGTTAGAACAGTAAATTATGTTTAGTTGTCTATCTGTAGCAAATTTGCTGCATTATTCACTTGTCTTGCTGTACGAGCGGATTTTCTTGTTATCATAGCAAGGAAATAGATTCCTGCGGCAAAGAAAAAGTAGCTAACATAGCGAATTATGTTAACCGTATATAGCAAATTAGTTTGCTGCTGCAGCAAATCCTTTTTTTCCGTGAAGGCAACTCTAAGCGTAGGTGTAAGGCGCCTTCGCGGTCTTACCATGCAGATCCTTTTGTCGTCCATACACTTATGCTTGAAGGAACTGAAATTGCCAGTTATATTTGAACATCTGTCGCCGTCGTCCATAGTGTCGCATTGATAGCACCACAAGTCATTCGCTCTTTCGGAAGCAGCGTGCGTTCGATGCTCCTTTGACATTAGCTGACCTATTTTCACGATAACTCCAGTCGTGTTATCATATACACACCAAATGGTACAAGTGAAAATGTAGTGGAATCTATTTTTGTTGAAAGTTCAAGCAAATTTCCAATTGTTACCCGCGGACTTGATTATTGCAACAAAAATACTCCACACCTTACAAGATAGTTATTTTGTTTTCAGACCCTCGGATTCGCGCATGTCGGATTTACTTCACGCTTCGGGTCTCTCGTATTTATTTCATAAGCGATCGTCGATGAATCGTCGCGAAGATAAGTGAAAACGATTGTGCTCTCTCTCTTTCTCTCTGATCTCATTAAACCGACAAATATCTTCATAATCTTGAGATTACATAGCATTAAACGAAAATAAGTTACAAAAATATATTACTTACAAGAATATATGAGTACAAAGAAAAAAGTCTGTGTTCTTTAAAAAGTAATTTTCATCAATAGAGAGCACAGAATACTGGATTGAGAATATGTTTTCAAGTGTGTTAGTTATACTCCACAGGTTCTTCTGTCCACTTGGAACTAATCTATTCACTAACAATCATCGTTTCATAATATAAGCAGCGGTAAATAATTTTGTTAGAAAAACGATTTGTAGAATCGTGTGAAACGTATCGATGCGCGCTTAGTAACTTATATTCCTTGAACGCTATGAACTCTGACTTGAAGTCTAATTATATCGAAAATGAAAATATTTCCCAAGCAACGAAGGAAGTTGTTCTCTTTCTGTGTATCGGCATAATACGCAGATCCGCGATTAACACCTGTTGGGTTAAGTCCGAGCGAGTCTATTAAATCTTGAGCACCCTCGATTGACGTTATCGCGGTCGAACAAACTTGACCAACGTTTTCAAGTATCACAAGCAACATTCCATTCTGGCGTCATGCCAAAATAACGAGTGCCAGTCTCGAATTACAATGCACGTAATCCGAAATCCGCGTTTCCTCGCATTGCTAGCCTGACGGCTGGGAAGGGGGGAGGGGAAAGAGAGAGAGAGAGAGAGAGAGAGAGGGGGGGAGGGGTATCGATACCGTTCGGAACGGCGCTCGAAATCCGACACTTGGGTGAGCGACGAGGAGTCGCGTGACCACGAGCTAATGTGACCGACGCCCGGACACACAAGAGAATATTCGTGAATATTCCACACTCACCGCTCGTAAGAGTGATCGTCGCGACCAGCAGGAAGCACGTGGCGGCGACGCGTACGTGGCCGTTCATCTCGTCGGGAGCGTGTTCACTGTCGACGGCACTTGGATATTCGGCTCGGAGCGTGTCGCGACGCTGCTTCCCGCCGTGCGAATCGCATCCTCGCGATCTGCCAAGGGAGATCGCGCGCGGAAGTCGCGTCAGCCCCAGGCGGTGGTCCAAGCGAGCGGCTGGATGTGTGCTTACGCCATGCTGCCAGCGTCACCGTCGGCGCCTGCGTCGCCAGGGCGTCGGGCTTGCTCCAGAAACCTCGAAACTCACAAAATCAATATTCGCAAAGGTCGGAGAAGGGTGATGTGCCCCGCCGCGAAAGCGAGGGCGACTGGCCTGAATTGATGATTTGAGAGGCGCACACTTTTGTACGCGCACCTGGACCAGACGACTCGTCTGGTACTCGGGAGGCATATGTGTATGAGTTTATTACTTGGGCACGCCACATGAATGCGAACGCACGTCCATCCTCCGATCTTCACCGTTCGTCGTCGCTCATTCTCGGCCTACGTGTACGCCGCCGGATGTTGGAAACGCCGTCCCGTCGTGTCATGTTTAGCCACGGTCAATTATTGCCGATAATCGCGCAGTTGCGCCGAGCCGAGATAAATGCGTTTCGTCGCTTATCGATCGACTCGAGGTCCTCGGATGCTGCGAAACCTTCGGTACGACGCGTCTATGTGTATTCTCGCAGAATGGAATGTTGCAATGTTCGAGTCTCTTTCCCTTTGTAAATTCGACGAGAAATTCAGGGATGGTTTTTCCAGGGCAAAAAGCGAAGAGGCGAGAACCTCTGTTCGTCGGCGAGGAAATTGATCCCGAGTTTATCTATTTTTATTTATCTTAATTTGATACAAGAACGTCGTCATATTTTTCATTTCGTTGTCGCCTATTGCTCTGAATATATGGCGTATACGCGTGCCAGAGTCGCGACTTATCGTTATAAGTGCAAGGTAGTGACATCTGTCGTGGAGGAAAGCGATAAGAAAGCGAAGTGTATGTGTCGTTCGCAACTCACGATATCATCCGCGAGAAATCGTCCTTTCCCCTTGAATCTCCCACTCGCGGATCATCGAGCGATCGGGCGAACAACGTGCGAGTGGAGTTGCAATTCGCAGGCTGGAATTTGCCGTGAATCGTAATCCTGCGAAGCGCGCGCAAACTATCCGTGGAAATTGCAGTCGTTATACGAGTGCCGCGAAATTGAGTCTGCCGTGAAACTCGCACTCTGCGGCCTTGCGGCCATGTCGCTACGGTGAAATTCTTAATCGACTGCGCTGATGGATAGTGTTCGGCTAACTTGATGCACGTCGACGACGTCGTATCCAAAGTGCCGGCGGCAGTTGTGTAACGTTGCAGAGTCACGCCGCGGCGCTCGTAACGCGAAACCTCGTTTCGCCGATTTGTTACCGATTTTTCAACGTTTCGTCGGGAACGAAATCGATGTGAGTGGAAACTCTCGATCGTACACGCATGTTTTTCATGAATTACTATTATACTTCTGTCAATCAGGAATCGCGCGAAAATGCAAGAATCATACGGCTTGGAATTTAACCGAATGTCTGGTGAAGTATCCGAGTCGAAATTTTGACCCTATGTTGAACCTTGAATTCTACATCGCAGTAAGAGCTAAGAGAGCAAAGTAGATTTAATTCTAATAATATAATTTACTCCTACTTTGATCCTTATGATGTCTGAAATTTCCGCTTTCGCTTGCTTTTGCGTCAAAGTAGGTTGTAGGTCATAGTAGGATCTTCGGAAGTAAAGTAGCGAACCTCAGTTGCGAACCTCTATTGAAGTCTTAGCTCCTACATAGAATACATGTATTTTATAGAATTCAAGATTCAACATAGGGTCAAAATTTCAACTCGGAAATGAGTGTCAATATCGTCAAAATAGGTTTCACCTAGATTATAGATTAAGTAGACTCAAACTATTTTTAAGAGCGTCAAAGTAGCATCAAAATTTTGTCAAGGTAAAGTTAAAGGTTCAAAAGAGAAGTTAATGAGTATCAATATCGTCAAAGTAGGTTTTACCTAGACTATAAACCGTCTAAGTAAGCGTAAAGTATCTTTAAGAGCATCAAAATAACATCAAAACTTCGACTCGGGATATGAGCCCGAAATTCCAGTTGAAATTACCAGAATTCTATTCAAGTCGACAAGATTTTCGGTTAAGCAGAACTTGCGTGCTTGCAACTTGTGCGCGGAAATTTTATTCACTCGGACAGAATTCTAATAAGTTCGACTGGAGTTTCTGCTTCGTTCACATATTGCACCAGACGTTTGGTTGAATTTCTTTTTCCGCATATATCACATTGATGATCAAAGTGCCGAACGTGATGGACGAAAGTGGACCGGCACAGTTTATGAATTGCGATATCGCGAACAGCGTGAGATATCGCTCGAGGAAGTAACGCTTCATTTTCGCAACGACACATTCGCGCGCAATGCGATCTCTCGGATTCCCCGTGGGACGGAGGGAGCTTTCCACAATATCGATCCTTGCGAGTTCTCGGACACGACGTGACAAGAGCGCCCGGCACACACACAGCGGGCGTAATTCGCTTTCCATTCTTCCTTTCCCTTTTATTTCGCGCGGGACAATATCCATAATGTGTGCCTGACGCGATACACCCGACCTTCGGTGTATTACGAGATTAATACGACGTCCCGAAAATGAGCGTAATTCCACGCTCGCGATATTACCTTTCCAACCAGCCGGGAGCAGCTTCCTCGCTGTCTCGTATATGAGAATTTATTTTACTGTAATTACGTGCCGGGTCTGCGCTAATTTCCAGCCGGAAATACGATGACACCGTGCGACGCGATAATGCGGCCGGTATAAATCGCGATGTGAAACGTATCTTTAATCATAATTGCGATAATTGCCGATAATTAAACGCGATATAATAAGTGAAAGGGGGCGAATTGTTACCGCGCCGCGGCCGGTTTAAGTGCGCGAAACGCATTCTTTTGCGAAAGCGCGTCCAACAATTTCAGACGGTGAATTCACTATAGTCTATTGCACCTGCACGTTGCAGAGGTGAATACCCGCAGGGGAATCGATTTCAGGTTTCCCAGACAGCGACTGTTATGGGCTTTTACCAGGCCTTTCTCGAGAAAGGGAGTGAATATCAACGAGAATCGCGAGTTGACGTCGTTACAGAGTGGAACGAAGACTCCGACAAAACGAGAATGAAGGTACGATAATAATGTAATCGATATGTAATGTAATCCGTAACGATATGGGAGTACGCGAACTGCCGCCGTCGTGTTCGGCCGCTGCGAAGTATAAAATTTTGATATTTCCAACGAGAATGTCAACGATGCTTTACAAATGTCGATGACACTCCCGTGTCGTTGGACACAATCGATATACGTACGTACGTACGTACGTACGAGCTTAATATCAAACGGATTTGGCACAAGAGATAATCCTTCTCGCGCGCCGCTATGCATCGCAATCGGACACGTGGAACAAAAACGGAGCGCACTCCAGCACCGATGACGGAACTCGCCCAGTGGCAACCCGAGTCGAAATTTTAGCCCTATGTTAAACCTTGAATTCTACAACGCAATAGGAGCTAATTTAGCAAAGTAGATTTAATTCTAATGATACAATTTACTCCTTTGACTCTGATCATGTCCGAAATTTCCCTTTTCACTTTCTTTAGTGTCAAAATAGGTTGTATTATAGGCTTCAAAATAGGTATTGAATGGAATAGTGAGGCTGAAAATAGGATCAAAATTTCGGTTCGAGTAGATTAAATAGAATCAAAATAAATGTTGAATGGAATAGTAAGACTGAAAATAGGATCAAAATTTCGACTCGGGAAGTTTACTCTGTAATTTTGGACGACGATATTGTTATCGTCAGGTATGGTGGCGCAACTATTTCATCTCTTATCTTCTTTCTATGTCTTCACGATATTATTTCGATCGTGTATTGCGATATGAAAGAAATATATTCTTCCTCTCATTCATACGTTTTCCTGACTTCAAGAGTCAAGTCGACATCTTGCATCTCTACGCGAACGTACCGATTTGTGCTCAAGATGGCTTCTGTCATCAAACTCTAAGTCCAATCAATGATTCAAAATCGTCATCAGTCAAGTATTATTTTGTAGCTTACTATTGAATCCGGTTATAACACAACCAGATTTATGTATGGGCCAACCATACTGTCTTTCTCTGTGTAGTAAAGGAGTTGATAATCATCTAGAAAAGCTAAAGGGAGAAAGTATCGCGCCAAGAGAAAGAGAGCACAGATTGTATGAATCTTTTCGTGATTTAGTCGACAGATCGGACCGCAGTCCACATCAGCAGACATGTTTTGATATATCCCGGCGAGAACTATCCGAGACGAATCGCACACAGAGTAACTTCTTCTGAAGAAGAAGAAGAAGTGGCAGACTCGCTTTCTCACGACGTGAGAAAAGCACCGAAGAGAAATGTCGGGCGATAAGTTTGTAGCTCTAATATAATTTTACGGGTCGTTTCACAGCGAGACTTTCGCAGTGGGTGAAAATTGTTTACGACACCACCGGCTCGCGTCGCGCGCGTTCACCTTGTTACTTATTAAATCGAAAGGAAATACTCGGGCAGTGCGCGTGCTTACGCGCAGAGACAGCGATATCGCGTCGCGTTTGAAGAGATATGAAAGGAAGAAATGAGAGGCGAGTCGATCGTCGCAATTTCGAATCGCTTTGCGATTCAATAGCCGGCATTCATGGCCCGATCTTACATCGCCTTGAGTTCTTGCGACGCTGTATTGCCAATGAAGTGATCCTTACAGCTTCTCCTGAGACGAACTTGAAAGCAGCGACTTGGAAAACTCGCTCTTCAAAAAGTAACCCGTTACCATTTTGAAAAAACTGCTCTGCTACTAAGGAGTAACTATGGAGTCGTTACAATCGTATTCTTCTCACGAAGTTTTGAAGATCTTTCTTCTTACGATTCGCTGCCAATCTCCTTCCATGCACGCGTATGGAAGGTAACGGACACTTCGTGTGCAAGACAACGATGATAAGTGACGAGATTATATTCGCGGCCGAGAAAATTAAATTGCGCCGCCGTGTCGCCGACGAAAACAAAAGTGCCGTTGTCAAATTGTTGCTGTAAGAAAATGAGCCGTAACGGTAACGGCGTTACAAGCAAGGGCGTTACTTGGCAACTCGGACTTAAGACGATCTCAAACACAAGATCGGGCCATGAATACCGACCCATGTCACGGCAATTACGACACACCCGAATGTGACACTCTCGCTTTAATAAACCACGCGTCCGTGCGTGACTTTCGGGTCGCATGGTCCTTTGAGATGCGCACATAATACCGGCGCAGCACCGTATAAGCCTCCTTCTCCGGAGTAAAGCCGTTGACATCCGTCATCCCGTAATGCGCATTACTACTAATCGGGAAGAGGTGCGATAAACGACTGTGGCTCGCGGTCGGGAATTTCAAACTCGTAATACGCTTAAGCCCTCGCAATGCACATCGCATCTAACGCGATTTTACCATTTCCCTTTTGAGCGCTCGCTCCGTCCAACCTCGCCGCTGGACGTCGCTGAATCTCTTCTGCGTTTGCTGCCGCCGTCGCGCAGCTGATTGTGCAACTCGTTATTGTCACTTAACAATCGCATAAAGTTTCGATCGTCGTCGCGGCAATAAACATCGAGCGGACGGGAAATTCTGTGAGCGCGCGATAAGAGCGCACGTCGTTTGTGTAAATAAATGGCGAGCTTTGTCCACACAGGCCACATCGCGCTCTTATAACGACCTGCGCGAACTTGTTTCCTACAATTTTTGCTGACAGAAGCTACCGCGTCCCACGCGGTATCCTCACGGAGCGAACGATCGGAGCGTCACTCCACCTCAGGAGACAATTTCTGCACGCGTCTCTTACTTCCTTTTTACTTTTCTTACTTTTGTTTCGTGTCCATAACGATAAACCCTTTTGCACGTCTCACTTGCGCCGCTGTTAGATAAAAGCGCCTCACAATGAGCGTTATTATCTTCAGCGTACATTTTGCAACGACTTAGTAATGGCTTTTGAACACTGAAGCACACACAGTGCTGACAGTTAAATTCGATTCGAATGCCTCGAAGTTTATAACAGTCGCCACGTGTGCGCCCGACGAGATAGCGTTTCGCTTTGGTATCTCCGGCTACACTGTGGTCATGTTGAATTAGTCTCACTTGGCGCAACAACGGTGACCTAACAATCGTATAAAGTGCCAGCTTCAACCGGCGCTGCGTTTGTATCGCAATAACACACGCGCGTGCGCGCTTATCGCGTGTACAATAAAACGTTAAATAAAACACGCAGAATTCGACCACACTTGCACCTTGTTGGATATTTCAGGCTGGATCGATCGGATCCTTGTTGCTCGGTGATTAATTAATGTTCCCGGCGCGCGAGCTGGTCTCTCGCAAAAACCTCCTCCACTTTAGAGAAATAGCGCAACACGGAAAAAGCAGTGTGGTTGCCCATAAATCGTTAGTTGTGCTAACCTGATTCAACAGTAAAATATGGAACAATTAATTATGTGTTTGCTGCAGTTATAAAGCGACTTCTGAACTATTGGCAGTGATGATATCTGCCCGGACAGCACAAATGTCCAAAATCGAGTCATAAGACGTCTTTAGGACATCTTTAAGACAATACCTTATAAACTTGTCTTAAAGACATCTTACGACCCGATTTTGGACATTGTGCTGTCTGGGTGTTGCTCCATCCAGACTGTATCCATGGTAAATGTCATCCCAATCGATTTCTGGTTGTCACAAGCAGATCATGCGCAGCTAGATTGATATAGTTGATGCACTAAAGTGACCGAGTTATATCTATAGATTTGTCATATCCATAGAATAGACCGCGCACTTTTACGAGGCGGCTGATAACAGGATTGAAGGACAAAGATACGCTAAGTCAAATGCTTCTCCTGTCACATGTAGTCTAGAAGTCTAGACTATGACTAGACATGTAGTCTAGAAGTGTGGTCTAGAAGTAGACGACGTAAAGGAGAAACAAAAGAGAGAGAGAGAGAGAGAGAGAGAGAGAGAGAGAGAGAGAGACTAACGCATATTGACCGTATGTGTCTTTTCCTTCGCTTTCCCCACTAACTGGACGGTTAGCCAAGAGAATCTTACTCTCTTATTGATGTTGACTTTATCCCTCCTATAGCGATGCACAGCTTATTCTATGTATATGGAGCACCACATCAATCATACATCTTATCTTTCTTTTTTCCGCGAACACGATTGGCGATGCGCTCGATATGTTTCTCGACGGCGCACTCTGCGAAAGAGTGTTCCCGCTCAAGTTTTCAAAAAAGCAACACATTTTCCTCTTCCTCAAGACTCGTTTCTACGATTCTACCCATAATACGAAAATACATTAAAATACATTTTTCATTCCAGGCATATTAGCGGACGTCCGTACCGTGGGAGACGGCTTTGTTGTCTCGTCTAGTCGCCTATGCAATCAACTTTCCACGGATAAACGTCCCAGCCGGCTGGCATCGTTAAATTATGCTACGGGGGTGTCAGTGTTTACACCGAAGCAACACGTGAAACGGTCTCTCCGCCGCCGCCGCCGCCGCCGCCGCCTTCGTAGCCACCTCCGCCTCCGCCACCGTCGCTTCTACCATCGCGCTCCGCCATCCCTTGACGAGTCGGGCCACCCTCCGGATCCAGCGGAATGTACTTAAACGAGAGGAAGGTGCACGCGTCGATTGGTTGGGCGCAACCGGGTCGATGGCGAGAGGGGCGCCGGGTCGTTCTCGGGAAGCTCGTAGTGCCGTTCTGACTACCGTCGCGGCAGGAACCCCAGCCCTCGTCATCTTCGTCGTCGTCGTCGTCGTCGTCAGCTTGTTCTCACGCCGATGATCGCCGCGGTCTCGCGGAAACGCGTCGGCACGAGACAATCGATCAGCGATCTCACGTTGTCGGGATCGGATCGACATTCTGAGCTTCTCTACACGCTAGACTTGGACGCAACGACCGTCGGTGATCGAGCAGCGAGCATGTAAGAGCACCTGGCGCTTTCACCCTCACGCAGAGAGGTGCAACGAGCAGACAGCGGAGGTCGTTACACCGAGAACCACCGATCGACCGCATCGAAGAGCAGCGAAGGGCGCCGATACACCTCGCTGTAGGTGGTGTGTGCGATCGGATCATTCAGCGGCTTGTCAGCGGATCAGCCAGTGGCTCGCACAGTCGGCTCGTGGACGCGGTCGTGTTAACAAACCAGGAGGTCAACACGTCGTCCTCCACTTTGTTCTCGTGGCTGACAAACTCCGGTAAGTGTGATTTTCTCGTTTGCTCTGTTCACGCTTCAGCTCTTCGCGCCGTTTTGCATTGTTTACCGTTGAGCGGACGGACCGGCGGACGGATGCGCCTGGATCACCTGTGGCTTTCGAACGTTTCGCGAGATCCGGAGATTTTTTACGATCGGAGCCTGAGCCCGAGACTTCGTCGTGCACATCGCGTTCCATTCGCGAGCCTCGATTCGCGCAGTTCGATCCGCAACGTATTTCACGAGCCGTATGCCCCGCGCGGAAATTGAATGCGATTGATTACCATATGGAAACTGCCAAGTGTCCCGATGGAATTATGTATGAGTTGATTTAATCATAAGCCCAGGCTAACGGCGGTCGACCGCGGTTCGCCTCTTCCTGGCTGAACTCCGGGCGCAAATTAACGAGGCATTTGTACATTTGTACGGGGTGTTTGAGAACTAACTAAACGCCCGCTATACCGTTCAGCTTGATGGTCACGCGCGGCGCATGCATTACGTGTGTGCAAGGGATTACGCGTTAATGTTTCAAGTTCTGATAACAAAGCGAGCGTTTATCTCGATGAAGCACCTGACAGAACGAAAAGGTAATGATGAGCGGTTAGCAAGTCGTTTGAAACAGACTAGAATCCTAAACATGGATAAAACTTACCTAGACCAACTTTCCAAACGTTATCGTTCTTAAAGACATATGTTTTGTTTCTTCATTGTAACTTTCGTCAACTTCAATTGAATTGCAGAAACGTTAATAGCTTCATATTTCTCGATGTTTCCTACACTGATTAAAGAAAAGCATTGAATTTCGATCATTTTCATTTCATAGTTAGAAGCAAATGGAAACGCGCTGGGTAAACCCATGTTTAGGTTGTACGTAATTTTTTTATATGTCTGGGATTCCAGGATTAAAGTGAATCATTAAAAATGTTTTCGAAATGAATCGACAAAAAGGCTGTTTCACCGTCCAAGTAACACAGTCTGGCTATTTTTTCTGTGACAGCAAAAGTGTGGTTAGTCCTGTCAGTCTTAATTACAGCTATTTAATGGCAAATATTATTTTACTAGATTTTTAACTCTGCAAAAACGCTACGATAGCTAATAAAAAAGTCAAAATATAGCCATAGATATTTTAGCTGTATTAATAACTATAAAGTCGTTATGATAGCTATCAGAAAAATCAAAACACCGCAGCCATTCAGTTACATTAATTGGTGTGAAGTCGCCGTGACAGCAATAAGAAGAGCCAAAATCCAGCTACAGATATTTTAGCTGTATTAATGGTTGTAAAAACATGATAACAACTACAAAGAAAAGTCAAAACTAGCCTCAGCCATTTTGTCACTTTCGAAATTAGAAGTGAATAGCTGACAAGATGGAAGCAGTACTGCTGACCGACTTGTAAAAGTTCAAAAAGTTCAAAAAATGTATCGTTATTATCAATTTTATATTAAATATAGCATACATTAGCAATGATTAGGCAGCTTTATGAATTTATTTTCGTGCTGTTCAATCCTAGTTGAAAATACATTATTTTTAATTCTCTTTTCAATATTTTTACGTAATTTTTAAATTCAAATTTAACTTTCATTAAATATTAATTTACATACAAAAAACATTCCCCGTTTATTAGTTTGCTTATCTTTATTTTGACTCTGCCATTACTACAATGTAGCTATGATCAACCTCTGTACAAAAAGCTGTGCAGCCAAATGGCTGCGACATCGTTTTCAAAAAAATATTGTCCCACTTTTACTGCTACAAAAATTTGCTTTGTCAAAACGTCATAATAACGTTGCGGTGTATAGCTGTGCTAGACAAAAGTGCTGCAGTTTAAGCTGCAACAATATATTATCGCAGCCGTTTTAAACCTTCATGTGCTACTTGGACGATAATCAGTAAGTGTTCATTGATTTTCAACGAAGGAACACATTCGATTGCCCCGTCTTATTTCTCACTGATTTTGATCAGTGGGAGATAAAATTCAACTGCAAAATCCGTAATACACAAATTCGTTATACGCTACATCAAATCCAACTCTGTGCGTAGTGACGATAGAATTAACGGCCTCAATGTCAGGAACAGTCGCTATTATTAATTTTTTTTTTTTTCAACGAGATTTTACCGTGATTACGGTACTATAATTATAACTGAATCATCATTGTAGGTACAATATTTCAGTGAAGAGTAGGTCGATTATACTTTGGAACGAATGGACGGTGAAAGTTCATGGCAAAAAGAGAGCGTCGCGTTTGTTAAATGATCCATTATAATGCATTTCGTAATTCATTCTACAACAAATTATATTCCTTAACTAACTGAAAACGTTAAAACGCGCGATATTGCAATTTTCGTACGCGCGTCGAATATGCAAACACTCGGCCGAAATGAGCGGCGATTTATTGTGATTCTGCGCATACACGCACCGAAATGCCGAATACGCGAAATGCAGCATTTAAACGGAGTCAGAAAGAGAAAAAAGCGAGAGAAAGAGACAGAGAAAAATAGAGAGAAAGAGAAATAAATGTTACCGCAACGGGGCGTTACGCGTAATCTTCGGGTATAAATCTCCATCTGGCTTTATTCGGGCCTCTTAAACGCAGTCCTTCGACCGTCCGTACTCTCACATATGGAATAAAAGAAAATACCGCGTACACAGTGGCGGTCGCGCGACAAAGTGAAATCATATCGTTCGTTTACGTCGCAAATCCCTCCCGGGAAAAGTGACCTCCGAAAAAAGAACTGGGATTTAAGCACGTTGGCCGAGACGACGCGACGCTGCCGCGAGGGAAGAAATATTCGCGTCGCGAGCTGGCATCTCGAGTATTTAATTAAGCCCCGTGACCGCGTGCTTGTCCTTGCGCTTTGATGCCTTCCTTCGTCAGCCACAGCGCACACTCGGACAAGAGAAACACATTTCCCAACTTGAATTCGAACTTATTGTTCCCGATAAGAAGACGAGAAGGAACGTGATTATCTCTCTCTCTCGGAGGCGAGCTATTCGCGCGAGCCTTATTCTCGATAAGGGGATAGAAGCGACTCGTTATCGGTGCGCACTGGATGAGGAACGAAAGACTCTCACACTTGATCTCGGAGAAACTTAGGTGAGATTAATTCCCGTGAGAGATCCGATCGTGAAGATTTATCGGTCGCGACGAAGCGCGCGAGAAAAGTTATCTCGTCTGCTGTTGCTGGGACACGCAACCCATCGTTTTCTCTCTCCCCTCCCCCCCTCTTTCTCTTCTTCTCTCTCTATTTTTCTCCTTCTCTCACGATGGATACTCTGGATGTGATGCAATGATGTTTGCGAACGATAGTGCGAGTGTAGGCGCTTCTCTTACGTAACGTCGCGTTGAGGGCGCGTTTTTCGCGTAATTACACGGCACCCGAGTGTCCGTCAAGACCAGAGAGACCAGCGCGCATTGTAGAAAGAATGGGAGTTTAACGAGGCAAAAGGAACGCGCGGGTCGGAAGGAAGGAAGGAAGGAAGGAAGGAAGGCTGAATGAATTGTCTTTAATAGCTATTCTGTCATTGCTCCATGGAAACGCACCGTGGACCGTTTCACGCCGCACTGTCAAGGAAACGAGAGGAATTTCAATTCGAATTTCTCTCGTTCCTCTCGTGGAGAATGTAATTATTTCGCTAGCGTTGTCCGCGTTGCTCCGCGACAAGCGAACGAACGAACGAACTAACTAACAAACGAACGAACGAACGAACGAACGAACGTACGAACGATTTTCAACTCGGCGATTTTCAGTGGACGACACGCGCGAACCGTTTATCAAGTGACGTTAACAATTCTCCCGGAATATGTGTTCGGATAGCCTTCTATTTACGCAGATCGGGCACGAAGAGATGCCTGCTTTCCAAATGTCTTTAAGTGAAATTTCAGTCGAAAAGCATACCGACAGCCGAGTCACTCGAATTCGAATGACTTTTCTCTCATAACGAATTCTCTGCTCCGGGTCGTCGAGTGAACATTTTCACCCAAAATTGAAGAGTGAAGAGATATACTTCATTGTCACAGGGACAAATTTAGTGTAATCGATTGAAACATTCGCTCTCTCGTATGGATCCAGAATGCACTCGACAGTTTCAGTGAAACATTCGCTCTTACGACTCTGGGTGACAGTATTTTCATTATCGCTTTGTGTGAATTTTCACTTGCTTTCAGCGAGAATTTACTCTCAGAGATTTAAGGATTGATTGATTTTTATTAAAATTTCCTGACATTAAATTATCAAATTATTCCTGATTTTTATTAATATTTCCTGACATTTAATTATCAAATTATTAGTCAGGACTTCAGTCTTGTCCGTTTCAAGTGAGGTCTCCATTTTAATAATTAAAATTCTGACTATTCCATTCAATTCCTTAATTTGAGTGAGATTTTAGTCCAAAAAATGTAGAAAGTAGCATTATATACAGGACCCGTAGCAAAGCTGGTTTAAACATGTCCTTTGAATTCTCCAATTGAAACAACGTCGTTGATACAATCAGTTTTGGAATTAGACGGGGCCGCTGTTAACACATTAACTGCCCCATGCTGATTCGTACGGATTACTGTAATCCTCAACTCGAAAATCTGGATTACCAAGGATACGTGCAAATAGGTGCAATTCGCGATGCATATGTTTGTTGGCTCGTTTCACCTCCCTGTCATGTATTCAATGTATCACATGATAATTGATTGCGTTTTATACACAGATTAATGAAACGCGGCAGTTTTAGCACGGGTCACTGGCGAGCTCCGGTTAACATGGCTAATATCAGGACAAGGTCCCCGAAACACAGCGGCGCGTCGCGAAAACGATGTCGCGGTATCGACGATGTCAACGTGATATCGATAAACGCAAGCTCTCCCTCGTCGTGACGAGAGCAGCTCGGTCGCGAGTGAGCGAACGTTTGGCCGCATTGTGCGAATTATTCTGCACGCTATCATTAAGCCAGCGCCGCTCGACATTTTCATACACCGCGCCTCGCGAAACATTAGCGAGTGCCATTTATAGATTGACGGTGGACGGCGGTCGCGTCGATCGCGTTTACGAGACGGAATAAAACGTGACGTCAAATATGTGTATACTCGTGTGTGTCTGTGCCTGTGTGTGACGTAGGGCGACGAAGGGCGGCGCGTGTCATGTTGCTGCTGCCGTTGTTGCTGCATCCCGCGCCTCTGCGACGTCGTCCTCGTCGCTGGGACCCTCGCCCTCTCCTCCTCGCATTCATCGCTCCGTATCGTGTCGCGTTTCCTCCTGAAGCCGATGCCGTCGGCGACAATCGTTCTCCCAGGCGCGATCATTTCATCTATCATCTCGCGGCGACGGTTCCGCGCTGGCTACCATCTTCGGAGGTAACTCTCGAAATCCAAGCTACGCTTGTACAATTCCATCGATCGATTGGGTTACTAAAGGTGAGCTTGTGGCCTCTCTCCCTGCCTCCCTCCCTCCCTCTCTCTCTCTCTCTTCCTCCATCATTCTCTTTCTCTCCTGCCCTCTCTCTCTCTCCCCCTCAAAAGACTTTACGAAATAATTATGGTCTTTAATGTGCGCGTCAGGTGCGGTACAATTGAAGCTTTATAAGCTTTGAAGCGTCTTTTTCTATGTACACAGTACACAACGACTTCATTATGTTGTCTATACTGAGAGTAAAAATATCTAAAAAATGAGAAATATTTGGTGGATACTGATACTATATTTATTTAAATCTAAATTGTTTTATTTAAATAGAGTAAACAATTACTTTGATAAAAAGTTAAGGTTTTGAAGAAATGTATGTTTTCTTATTTGAAAAATATTTTGTATTAGTACAGGTATGTGCCACTAAACAAATGTCTCTTATTTTTTACACATTTTTTTCTCTCATTGAAAGATCCTTCTTCAATGTTCAGGCAGCATTCGTATACTTTTCTTGTGGAAAATGATTCACTCATTTACTACCGTAGAAGGCATTGAAAATCAAAACTTTCGATTGGCCAAATATAGTTTATTTCAATTCTTGTTCTGTGACTCATAAAGTTATTATTATTATTATTGTTTATTATTATTATTTATATTATTATTTATATTATTATTTTTTATATTATTATTATTATTATCATTATTGTTATTATTATCATCATAAAAGGTACAGGTAATATAAACGCACAAGTTTGCATGAATATTATATTTAATGGTACAAGTAAATGTACAATATAAAAAGATATATATATATATATATATAAAGTAAAAACAGTGTACGTAAATATTAGAGTTACAATAATAACTATTAATAATTGATATTACTCGGAAAATGCTACATATATAAACGTTACATACTATTATAGGTATTAAGCGACATGTACGCATCGAAATATTTATCGCGGGACTACGCTCGGTTTTAGGCTTGTCTTAATAGTCGTCACTTGGAACTTCTCACGTGAGATATTCAGATTATACTTTAGAGCTGGATCTCTAAGTTTTTCAGTTGAATTACATGTAACATTATATTTGTCGTGATTCATTTGACAAGCTTACATGCAACACCAAATTCAAATCATTTGAAGCAAATTTCAATTATTATCAAAGGGTTTTGGGCATTAATACAGGCTCGCGATTTTTCATTTTCCTTTTTCTTTTATACACTCGCCGTAATCGATGTTGTGGCCCGAGATTAGCACTCGTTCCATTAAGATAAACGATCGACTAATTAATCCCGTTAATAACTGCCGATAAATATCAATTTTCGTCACATCACATCCGCGTAAAAAGCCCGTTGCCGCAGCAGCGACGGCAGCTATTATTGAAATGACATGCGGTGCGGCAAAACCGATCAAACAATTTCCACTGACGGAAAAGTAATATCGGGTTTTTGCGAAAATTCACACAGTCCGCGCATATACATAACACGCACGCTGCGAGAGAATAAGCGAAGGGAAAGAATAGCAAGAAGAACAAACAGCCGAGCGCATTGTCAACAATCGATCACGATGATTAATCCTGAGAACGATACGATGGCATACATGACTGACGCGTAGTCAGTATCACGGAAACGAACGGTGAGAGCACGTGGATTCGATGTAAACGATCAAACTGGCCGAAGAGACGTATCGGGAAGTCGACGATCAAAATAAGCCTTGAGACAGTTGTCGTTATTTTCTTTGTCTCAAACGAGCTTCTTTGTCGTGCCAAAGGTAATTGGCACTATAAAACGTTTGAAAATAAAGAAATAACGACAATTGTTTCGAAACTTATTTTGATGCTATTTGCTTCGTAGATTTCTCGGATAGAAATAATTTTTTGGGAATATAATAATATTTATAGGGTACCTGATAAACGGGTTTTTGGTTCCAAAAAAAAGAGTCGGAAAATTTATCCGAATTTTTCGCGTCGTAGGATGGATGGCATTTGCAGATACCTTTATAGCAAGAACCGCCCGAATGACCTTGATATATGCACTTTAGCGCACAGGCAGAATGACTGATTTTAAACATAGATAGGAGATCACAGGTTATCCGAGGATGGCGGGCTTTTGCCGGCTTATAGCGCGTTATTGGCATTTTTTTGAACGCTGGTTTTTTGAAAGGACCTGAAACAAAACACGTAATTTTTCCTTTACTGTCCGCGAGGCGTTTACGCGAAAGGATTGGAAGAAATTGAGTAGGATCATTCAATCAAATTTGATTTTTAATGCGATCCATTTGACTCTCCTAATCCCGAGTCGAAATTTTTTTGTCGTGCTAGAGGTAATTGGCACTATAAAACGTTAGAAATAAAGAAATAACGACAACTGTTTCGAAACTTATTTTGATCCTATTCGGTTTACCCTACTTCTCGAATAAATTTCACTTGGGAAAGTGTAGGAAATATGATCTTTCGGGAACATTCTCTGATGGCATTCGTATACCTTTATTGCGGAAGAAGGCTTTCTGGTTCGGCGTCGAAAAAGGCCGGGAAAATTGAACCGGATTTTTCGCGTTGTAGAGTAGACCACGGCATTTGCAGATACCGCCATGGCAAAAACCGCCGAAATGACCTTGTTGTATGCACTTTTGCGCACAGGCACCGATTCCAAGCAGCAAATCGCAGGTTAACTGATGGCGAGTCATTGTCGACATATTGTATGTCATCGGCATTTTGTTGAACGCTGGTTTTTTGAAAGGATCTGAAACAAAACACGTAATTTTTCCTTTACTGTCCGCGAAGCGTTTACACGAAAGGAAGGAGGAAATTGGGTAGGATCATTCAATCAAATTTGATTTTTAATGCGACCCATTTGACTCTTCTAATCCCGAGTCGAAATTTTGGCCCTATGTTAAACCTTGAATTCTACAACACAGTAGGAGCTAAGTTAGCAAAGTAAGTTTAATTTTAATGATATATACAATAATACAATTTACTTCCCTACTCTGATGATATCTGAAATTTCTCTTTTCATTTTCTTTAGCTTCAAAATAAGTACTGAATGGAATAGTGAGATTGAAAGTAGGATTAAGATTTCGATTCGAATAAGTTAGATAGAATCAAAAGAGATTGATGTAGGTTTCAGAGTATCAAAGGTGTTGAATGGAATAGTAAGGCTAAAAATAGGATTATAGAAAATATTCAGTGGACGATTCAGAATGAAGAATTCATTTTATACGAGTCATTCGAATTGACTCGATTGTCAAATCGAATCGAAATAAGTCTTGAGACAGTTATCGTTAATTTCTTTGTATCAAACGAACTTTTTTGTCGTGCCAGAGATAATTAGCATTATAAAATGTTTTAAATAAAAAAATAACGACAACTGTTTCGAAACTTATTTTAACCCTATTCGGTTTATCCTACTTCTCGAATAGATTTCACTTAGGAAAGTGTAGAAAATATGATCTTTCGGGAACATTCTCTGATGGCATTCGTATACCTTTATTGCGGAAGAAGGCTTTCTGGTTGGGCGTCGAAAAAGGCCGGGAAAATTCAACCGGATTTTTCGCGTAGGGTAGCCCACGACATTTGCAGATACCGCCATGGCAAAAACCGCCCAAATGACCTCGTCGTATGCACTTTCGCGCACAGGCAGAACGACCGTTTTTAAATAAAGATACACAGGTTAACCGACGATGGCGAGTCATTGTCGACATATCGTACGTCATCGGCATTTCGTCGGACGCTGATTCTTCGAAAGAATCTGAAACAAAATACGTAATTTTTCCTTTACTGTCCGCGAGGCATTTACGCAAAAGGAAGGAGGAAATTGGGTAGGATTATTCAATCAAATTTGATTTTTAATGCGACCCATTTGACTCTTCTAATCCCGAGTCGAAATTTTGGCCCTATGTTAAACCTTGAATTTTACAACACAGTAGGAGCTAAGTTAGCAAAGCAAGTTTAATTTTAATGATATATACAATAATACAATTTACTCCCCTACTCTGATAATATCTGAAATTTCCCTTTTCATTTTCTTTAGCTTCAAAATAAGTACTGAATGGAATAGTGAGGTTGAAAGTAGGATTAAGATTTCGATTCGAATAGGTTAGGTAGAATCAAAAGAGATTGATGTAGGTTTCAGAGTATCAAAGGTGTTGAATGGAATAGTAAGGCTAAAAATAGGATTATAAAAAATATTCAGTGGACGACTCAGAATAAAGAATTCATTTTATACAAGTCATTCGAATTCAAGTGACTCGATTGTCAAATCGAATCGAAATAAGCCTTGAGACAGTTATCGTTAATTTCTTTGTATCAAACGAACTTTTTTGTCGTGCCAGAGATAATTAGCATTATAAAACGTTTTAAATAAAAAAATAACGACAACTGTTTTGAAACTTATTTTGATCCGATTCGGTTCGCCCTACTTCTCGAATAAAATTTCACTCCGGGTAGTTTAGAGAATAGATCCTTTGCCAACGTTTTCTGACGGCATTTGTACACCTTCATTGTGAAAGATCGCTTACCGATTCAGCGTCGAAGAAGATATGGAAAATTGAACCGAATTTTTTGCGGGGGCGAGTATCGCGACGTATGTGAGCATGAAACGTGTGGTTACATTCCACGAAATTCTATACCACAGGATGCAGTGAAGCGTTCGTACACTGAGAGAAAAAAATTGTTGATCTTGCTGCAAATTATTGTTATTTTTTGCGTCGACCACATTCTTTTGTCGTTCGTGAACGCCAATGGAAAAATAGTACTAGCACTCTGTGCATGTAAATTTATTATCGATAACACTATAGCAAAAATGCTTGCTGCGAAAATGAGTTTGCTGACCATGATCGTTATCACTTGGCAATTATAGTCACAAGTGTCGAACACACTTTCTCCTCAGAGCAAACAGTGCAAACGCTCCCCGACGGGAGGACTGCAATCGACTTTGCGACGCGCGCGATAACCCGTCGTAATAATAACGAAATATCTCTCCCATCGGGGAGAAGGACGCGTCGGACTACAACGCGAAAGGATATCGACAGCGTATTATCTGAGGCGTGCCAGAAGCGTAGAGTAGAGCAAACCGCGCTTTCGATATTTTTCTCTCTCTGGAACGAAAAGATAAGCAGGTCCTGAACTCACGGCGTCCCGCCGCCACCTAGTACGCCCTCCTCCTTTTGGTGGAACTCCCCTCGACGCGTTGCGAAACGTGTCCAAGCACCCGAGGGCTGCCAAAAAATTTGGTGTCGACTCCGGGGCTTTTTTTATAATTTGCACCGAATGAGGAGGGGCGACGGTGGAAACGGACATACATACACAGCAGATCTAAAATAAATAGCAACCTTTGACTTTGAGAGACTGACAACTATACCATTTGGTACAGTAACAATGTTTCTTTCTGTAGTCGCCGTGTGCTCGGGATAGCGCCAGAGATGTCGCTTCCGAGGGCCCGGTCGAAATTTTGACCCTATGTTGAACTTTGAATTTTACACCGCAGTAAAAGCTAAGATAGCAAAGTAGGTTTAATTATAATGATATAATTTACTCCTACTATGATCCTATTGATGTCTGAAATTGATGTCTGAAATTTCCGCTTTCGCTTTCTTTAGCGTCAAAGTAGGTTATATAATAGAAGGATCTTAGGGAGCAAAGTAGGTTCGGTTGCGAACCTCTGTTGAAGCTTTAGCTACATAGAATATTTGTATTTTATAGAAATAGTAAACAAATTTAATAAATAACGAAACAGAAACGTCAATAGCATACAAAATATATATTTTATTTGTTGCATATATTTCAGACATCATCAGGGTCAAAGTAGGAATAAATTATATCATTAGAATTAAACTTTGCTATCTTAGCTCCTACTGCGGTGTAGAATTCAAGGTTCAACAGAAGGTCAAAATTTTGATTCGGAAATGAGTGCCAATATCGTCAAAATAGGTTTCACCTAGATTATAGATTATCTAAGTAGGCTTAAACTACTTTAAGAGCGTCAAAGTAGCGTCAAAATTTTGACAAGGTAGAGTTAAAGTTTCAAAAGAGAAATTAATGAGTATCAGTATTCTCAAAATAGGTTTTACCTAGGCTATAAACCGTCTTAGTAGGCTCAAACTATCCTTAAGAGCGTCAAAGTAGCATCAAAAGTTCGATTCGGGCATCTCTGAACGTTATTTAGGGAGAGGAGAGTGTTTTAAGCTTGGAACTTCAGGTAGTTCAGTGGTTTAGTCGCCCGGCAAGCAACAGACAGATCCGGGTTCGAGTCCCGGCCTAGCAAACCGTGCTTTCGATATTTTTCTCTCTCTGAAACGAAAAGATATGCAGATTCCGAACGCATGGCGTCCCGCCATCACCTAATACGCTCTCCTCCTTCTAGTGACGCGGCTATTCTGTGTAGTCCGTACTCTGGATATTTATTACTCCATCGAGAAGTTCCTGCGTGCTGTATCTCGAAGTGACCTGTCGAGATGAAAAGTATTGAGGCGCTTCATCGTAGCAGCCATGCGGAATTTTTTCAGGGATCTCTGAGAGTGATATTTATGGTTCAATCTAATATTTAGGTTTATCTCAAGGTACTGAGGTCGATGTATTGGTAGTCGTTGCTTGAAACTTATCTGATATGAGGTCCCAAAATCAAAAATTTTTATAGAATATTTTCAAATATTTTTTAATACTTTTCCCTTCCGTAATGTCAATCCGTAGTATCTCACTTGAGACAAGTTTGAAGCGACGGCTATTTATGCAGACCAAGCTAAGCCATCACAAGCGATCACTTGCATTATTTATATCTTCTCAAACTGGGCTTAAGACGGTTTCAAATACAAGATCGGACCGTGAACGTCGTCCTGAGTAAAAAACCTCGGTAGATGATCGTCGACTCGTGACGATGAAGATGAGAAAAGGATTGCGCGATGAATTTTAAATCAACCAAATATGCTTACTCAGTTCGTCAGTCGGTTCATCGTAAACGGCAGGTGTCGGATCGGCCGAGGCGTACGCCAACACGCAGAAGAGGGCGAAGACAGCGAGCAGCTTCATCTCCTCGCCACGGAGATTTGGCTTCTTGCTTCGGGACCGGATTCAAATCGTCTGAATTGTTAGACAATAATGTCTTCAAGTGTCCCGCTCGTCACTTTATATAGAGGTTATCATACTCTTGCTTTCCCAGCAATCCACTTCCGTCTCGCAGGCGATTTTCTTGCGGACGGCTTCACTACCGGAATTCCCGTGGCTCCACCCTGTTGGTCAGCTATTTTTGTCCGACAATTCTCTAACCTACACGTTAGAATATTAATTTCCGGTTTTATCGCTGTTATCAGGACGAGATAAACGGGTGTTCCGTCGTTGGTTGAAAGTGCGGATGTGGCTACGATGCCGAATAGAAATTTTGATGCTACTTTGACGCTCTTAAGGATATTTTGCGCCTACGACCTTAGACAGTTTATAGCCTAGGTAAAACCTATTTTGACGATATTCATATTCATTAACTTCTCTTTTGAACCCTTAACTCTATCTTGTCAAAATTTTGACGCTACTTTGACGCTCTTAAAAATAGTTTGAGTCTACTTAGATAATCTACCTAGGTGAAACCTATTTCGTTTGATAATCAACCTAGGTGAAATCTATTTTGATATTGATATTCATTTCCGAGTCGAAATTTTGATCCTATGTTGAATCTTGAATTCTACACTGCAGTAGAAACTAAGATAGCAAAGTTTAATTCTAATGATATAATTTACTCCTACTTTGACTCTGATGATGTCTGAAATATATGCAACAAATAAAATATACATTTTGTATGCTATTTGACGTTTCTGTTTCGTTATTTATTAAATTTTTTAAATATTTCTATAAAATACATATATTCTATGTAGAAGCTAAAGCTTCAATAGAGGTTCGCAACTGAACCTACTTTGCTTCCTAAGATCCTACTATTATACAACCTACTTTGACGCTAAAGATAGCGAAAGCGGAAATTTCAGACATCATCAGGATCAAAGTAGGAGTAAATTATATCATTAGAATTAAACCTTACTTTGCTATCTTAGCTTCTACTGCGGTATAGAATTCAAGGTTCAACATAGGGTCAAAATTTCGACTCGGGATTAGCGAGAAACGGCTGAATCAAACAACAGAACCAGCAGATTCTTTCGGATTCAATCCATCTTCGAAGATCTGCCGTGTCATTTTGAATATTTCGAATCACGCGCGGAGCTTCTACGAATAATTGACAGCGAAAAGTAATACACGCGTGTCTTCGAGTGGGAAAAACGATAAAAAAGCCGATCGTGACTTTTATTATCGTGAACTGACCCAGGCACGATAACTTTTACCCAGACTAATATTTGTGTAACGATTGCGCAACGTGATCCTTAATGCTACTACTCCTTTCCTTGACAGTCGCGTGAAACTTTTTAAATTTATGGCGGTGCATTATGACTGTCAAGAGTGTGTACTTTGCTCTCTTCATCTCTTTCTCTTTCTCTCCTCCTCTCTCTCCTTCTTTCCCTTTCTCTGACCCATCGTATGTCGGGTCTTGTCCACAGCCGAATCTCGTTTAAGAATCGCCAATGCTGAAATTTCCGGGACGGTAAGCTCGATGGATACACGATGGGAAATTGGGAGAAAGACAGGCAGTCCGGTGAAGAGCAATGAGAGAAATACACAATGCGATTTGCCCGACGGAAATGCTGACGTTCCTCTTTTCCGTTTTGTTCGTTATTGAATCTTCTTTGCGACATCACGCAAATGTGTAATTGGTTCTCGCTCCATAAACTCTTACCCTCATGCGAATTGACTTAAATTTAACCCCATCGTGGAGTGGTAGAGTAGTTTGCGGAGCTCTCTCGTTATCCGCCTGCCTCAAAGTTAATCTATTCGGAGTGAGTGCGAGTCGCCGAACCGATTGATACGTCGCTGCTGACATCGTGCGTGCCTTTTCCTCGCTTTTATTCCGCGAGTTCCCCTTCGTGATCCTTCTGATCACGGGATACTTCGCAACTTGCGACTTTGTTTTAGTGACGGCTTCACCGAACAATTAGAAATCGACATTTCTTTAGAGAGAATGAATCGATAATTTCGAATTAATTTGCAGTCAGTATTTTGCAAATATGAGAAAGGCAGAGTAAGCAGGACTCGTGTCGACGGCTGAATCGCTCGCGATATCGCACGGCGTTGATGCGCGAAATCGACGTCCATTATTCGACGTAAGAAATCGTCCTCAGTTGGCATCATCGCGACGGTTTCTAGGCGTTTCTGCCACCATCTCCACTCTCCTCACTGTAACGTCGACGCCGTACGAACAATAGCGCTCGAGAACAACTGCTTTGTTCCAATCCCGGTCGGCGAATAGCGTGCCATTCGCCGGCTTCGGTGAATGACAACTTCGTACATCGTAGAAGCGTGAAGATACGGGAACTCAAAGTCGCCCTGAGCGACACGGAGCCGTGCTCGAACGAAGTCGCGAACTTCGAGTCGCCGGGGAAACAGACATCAACAAACGTTGCCCGCTGTCGAATCAACCCGAAACGAATTAAGCGAGGCATTCCGATCCGCAGAGCGATCCCTCGAATTCGAACTCCAACTCATGTCTTCGTATATCTCCCTCGAATGAAATATCCGAGCGTTCTATCGGTGCGAAACGCTGACGCTTCCAACGTGACAGGAGAGTGTTTGGTACTTGTGGCTCTCTAATTGCATAATGAAATATCATAGTCAAGAACACTACTTTCAATAGTAAACTGTAATGTCACTGATAATAATTTTACACGCATGTTGCCATTATCACCACTTTCCACCCTACTTTTTGTAGGACAAAACAACACAAAAAATGGTTCGCGTGCAAAATATGCGACGACACTGAGAAAAAAAGTGTTTGATATTTGCGACTATAATTATACTAAGAAAAAGATCGCATAGAGAAATAATCACTGTAAATTATGGCCAAAAGTATCATTTTCTTTTTTTAATTCTAGTATAATATTAATAATCATGTATATATATGTGTTATTACTATTATTTTCGTGTTATGATAAACAAAAAATATAGTGTTGGGGCCAAAAATAATTGTAATTTAAGTTAGATCAATCATAGAAATAATTATAGTTAAAAAATTTTTTTTTGTAGCAAGCGCTACTAATAGTGCTAATGGAAATCATACGCATATTACTACTTTTTTCTTATTAGAATAATAAAAAAGACATGCTTGGTGCAGAGAACCGCCATTATTTTCATTGAGATAATTCAACTGCTTTTTCTCTCAGTGCGTCAATAAAGATGCGAATCCCGGATAATTCGCGTTAAAATTGCGCGACTTTGCATCATTTCTCGGAAATTGCGCGTGAAACTTCGACAAAGAATATCGTGCGTTTCCGAGCCGATAATGCTTTTTCCGCAGCAGACAGCTTTGCACAAAGCTAAACCCAAACTGCATTCAATTATCTCGTCGAAATTCCCCGTTGGCTGAAACTTTTATCGCGTCCGCGTCGTTTGTCCTGAGCTTTTTAGCAGTCTTCTCGATGCTGGTCAGGTATACTTGACTGTAGGTACACTACAACAACGCTACGCTGATAAATATGTCGGCTATCGCCGACAAAGAAGGAAGAAAAGACTATGCAGGTGCTCCTCCCGTTATCCCTCTCTCTCCGTCAAAGCGTTAGCTCTAAATCCGATCTCATCTTAAATCCGCTGGATCCCTGTCACATCCCTTGATGAGAGCGCATTCTGCTACGCTACGATCGAGAATATTAGTTTTATCCGAGTTCTCTCTCTCGGAGTAAGGAATTTTAATACGCGCATGATCGGGGGCGACAAACGCTCGTTGTGGTGCTTCGCCGTCGTGTCATCTGAACGAAGTTCACGCGCGATTCTAGGGCAAAAGGGCAGAGGAGGATGGAGGGAGGCATTCAAGACGCTTCTAAAGAACGTCTCAACGGTAAAGATGTCGACGGTGGAAACGCGTCGAGAGATATACGACGAAACCCCCAAATTAAAGTTCCAGACACGTTTCACGATATCGAACGAGAACTTGCTCGAAGGGAAAAAGGGAGAGTGAGAGAGAGAGAGAGAGAGAGAGAGTGTGTGTGTGTGTGTGTGTGTGTGTGAGACAGAGAGAGATCGGTTCACGTGTAATTATTCGGAGCATACGTTGCTGAACTCACGCAATTGAAATCTCGTCTCCTGGGATTGGACAGGCGGAGAGAGTTCACCGCGTCGTGGCCTCGGTGCATGCATGCATGTATGCATGCATACTCCCGGATGCACGCGAATCAATATACACAGTGCGCTGAAAGTTATTGCGTTAGCGATTGGACTCGTCAGTGCGGAACTATCGGCTGGACTCACATGTTGCTCTTGGGCTGGGAACGAATCGCGAACGTAACTGGGCAAAGGTCAGTCGTCCATTGGCAATATATCGTCGCGAAATGTTACGTCCCGACTGGCCGTTTCGTAATTGCCTGTCGTGAATAAATAAGTCACTCCCTCTCCGAAGTCGATGTCAACTGCAAAGTGGAGTGATTAATTCGCGTATAGTAACACACTGAGTAGTGCGATCAGTTATCTTCCAATAGATTGTCCGATAGGAAACAATTCGAGATCAGTCATTACATGATCTAATGTACCTCGCGAATTCTGCGCAGAAATCGCGAAGTCGCGTGGAAAAGCGACTTTCGGGCGAGTTCGCGATCCACTAACGAGCACAATCGATATTGACAGCCGCAATTGATAGAATTACTCCGACCGAATCGCTTCATCATGAAATGACAGATCAGCTGTTTGCCGTGGGTAATTGGGTCAGCCGAAAAGTTCGGTTTGATTGTTGAGTAAAATTTGACTTTACTTCATCAGTGTTTCTCTCGTTTATGAGACGTTGCTCTCTTTTCTCGGGTAAAATTTTCTTAATTTATATATGATCTTACTGTTATATTTTCAACAGCTAATTTTCTCCATAATATCTATGCTTTTGATAAGAATAATTCTGATGCTAATCTAAGGCTTTTAGAAAATAAATGAGAGAACCACAAACTTTAATGAAAAAGGGTTTATGAAATAATTATGGCCTTTAATGTGTGCGTCAGATGCGGTACATTTAATTTAAGCTTTATAAGCTTTGAAGCGTCTTTTTTTATGTACACAATACACAACGACTTTATTATATTGTCTACACTGAGAGTAAAAATATCTAAAAAATGAGAAATATTTGGTGGATACTGATACTATATTTATTTAAATCTAAATTATTTTATTTAAATAGAGTAAACAATTACTTTGATAAAAAGTTAAGGTTTTGAAGAAATGTATGTTTTATTAAAAAATTATTATAGTTATTTGAAATAGTTATATAGTTATATAGTTATTTGAAAAATATTTTATATTAGTACAGGTATGTGCTATTAGCAGGCATCAAATAAATGTTTCTTATTTTTTACACATTTTTTCTCTCATTGTAGTATCCTTCTCTAATGTTCAGGCAGCATCCGTATATTTTTCTTGTGGAAAATGATTTACTCATTTACCATCGCAGAAGGTATCGAAAATCGAAACTTTCGATTAGCTAAATATAGTTTATTTTAATTCTTGTTTTGTGACCCATAAAGTTATTATTATTACTGTTATTTTTATTATTATTCCTGTTATTATTATCATCATAAAGGATACAGGTAATATAAACGCACAAATTTGCATGAATATTATATTTAATGGTACAAGCAAATGTATAAAAAGTATAAAAGGTATATATAAAATAAAAAGGTATACATAAAGGTATATATAAGTAGGTGTATGTAAATACGAATACGAGAACAACAATAATGATTAATTGATATTACTCGGAGAGTGCTATATATATAAACGTTACATGCTATTATAGGTATTAAGTGCTATTATAGGTATTAGTATGTGACATGTACGCATCGAGATCTTTCCGCGGGACTACGCTCGGTCTTAGGCTCGTATTAATAGTCATCACTTGGAACTTCTCACGTGAGATATTCAGATTATACTTTAGAGCTGGGTCTCTAAGTTTTTCAGTTGAATCACATGTGACACAAGTAACATTATATTTGTAAATTGTGATTCATCTGACAAGCTTACATGTAACTCCAAATTCAAATCTGAGTATCTCATTTGAGGCAAATTTCAATTATTATCACAGGATTTTGGGCATTAATGCAGACCTTAATCGCGAATTTTCATTTTCCTTTTTCTTTTATACACTCGCCGTAATCGATGTTGACCCGAGATTGGCACTCGTTCCATTAAGATAAACAATCGACTAATTACTCCCGTTAATAACCGCCTTTAAATATCAATTTTCGTCACATCACATCCGCGTAAAAAGCCCGTTGCCGCAGCAGCGACGGCAGCTATTATTTAAATGACATGCGGTGCGGCAAAACCGATCAAACAATTTCCACTGACGGAAAAGTAATATCGGGTTTTTGCGAAAATTCACACAGACCGCGCGTATACATAACACGCACGCTGCGAGAGAGTGAGCGAAGGTAAAGAATAGCAAGAAGAACAAACAGCCGTTCCGAGCGCATTGTCAACAATTGATCACAATGATTAATCCTGAGAACGATACGGTGGCATATATGATCGCGTAGTCAATAACGAAACGAACGGTGAGGGCGCGTGGATTCGATATATGCGATCAGGTTGGCCGAAGAGACGTATCGAGAAGTCGACGACGAGTCTAAAGGCAGATACAGATACCGCCATGGCAATACCCGTCCCGACGACGTTGCGCCAGACATTTCAACGCACAGATTCTATGATTGAAGCTGAAATCCTTGCCGTTCCAGAACAGACCGCAGGTTACTCGACGCTGTCGGATCATTGTCGGCATATCATTCGTCAACATTTCGTCGGACGCTGATTCTTCGAAAGGATCTGAAACAAAACACGCAATTTCTCCTTTATTGTCCGCGAGGCGTTTACGCGAAACGAAGGAGGAAGTTGGATAGGATCATTCAATCAAATTTGGTTCTTAATGCGGCTCTTAATGCGACCCATTTGACTCTTCTAATCCCGAGTTGAAATTTTGGCCCTATGTTAAACCTTGAATTCTACAACACAGTAGGAGCTAAGTTAGCAAAGCAAGTTTAATTTTAATGATATATACAATAATACAATTTACTCCCCTACTCTGATGATATCTGAAATTTCCCTTTTCATTTTCTTTAGCTTGAAAATAGATGTTGGATGCAATTGTGTGGCTGAAAGTAGGATTAAAATTTCGATTCGAACAGGTTAAATAGAATCAAAAGAGATTAATGTAGGTTTCAGAGAATCTAAATAGGTATTGAATGGAATAGTAAGGAATAGGATTGTAGAGAATATTCAGTGGACAATTCAGGATGAAGAATTCATTTTCCACGAGTCACTCGAATTCAAGTGACTCGGTCGTCAAAACGGATCAAAATAAGCCTTGAAACAGTTGTCGTTATTTTCTTTGTCTCAAACGAGCTTTTTTATTGTGCCAGAAATAATTGGCACTATAAAACGTTTGAAATAAAAAAATAACGACAACTGTTTCGAAACTTATTTTGATCCGATTCGGTTCACCCTACTTCTCGAATAGAATTTCAGTCGGGATAGTTTAGAGAATAGATCCTTCATCCACGTTTTCTGGCGGCATTTGTACACCTTCATTGTGGAAGATGGCTTACCGATTCAGCGTCGAAGAAGGTATAGAAAATTGAACCGAATTTTTCGTAGGGGCAAGTATCGCGACATGCAAGCATAAAACGCGTTGTTTCACATTCCATGAATAATCTATACCGCAGGATACAGTGAGGCGTTCGTACACTGAGAGAAAAAAAATTGTTGATCTTGCTGCAAATTGTTGTTATTTTTCGCATTGACCACATTCTTTTGTCGTTCGTTAACGCCAATGGAAAAGAAGTAATAGCGCTCTGTGCACGTGAATTTATTATCGATAACACTATAGCAAAAATGCTTGCTACGAAAATGAGTTTGCTGACTATGATCGTTATCATTTGGCAATTATAGTCACAAGTATCGAACGCACTTTTCTCTTCAGTGCAAAAAGTGTAAACGCTCCTCGACGGGAGGACTGCAATCGACTTCGCGACGCGCGCGGTAACCCATGGTAATATTAGGACCTTAACTTAGTTTCCGCCCAAAAAATACTGAGAAAAAGCATTTATTGTAAAAAATTTATTTAAATTATTTCAATGAAAGTATTTTCCATCACTTTCTACAACTTTTTGCCATCTTTCTGGCAACTGGGCGATACCATCTCGATAAAACGATGTTTGTTTCGAAGCAATCCATTCGTCCACCCATTCTCGC